TTAATAAAAAAATTTAAGCGTTAATTTTAATATTTTAATCCATGAAGAAAAAGATACGAACCTTTTTAGTTGTCGTGGGACGACGTCGGGCGTGTGAGGTAAAATGTAGGGCAAATGATTGGAGTCGCCACCTAGTATTACGGTTACTAAGAAACCTCATGACCGGTGCTATTCGGAGTTTCGGGTAAGGGGTTTATTACATGTAGGGAAGACCAAAAGTCACCCTACCTTGTCTTGCCTAAGGCAAGCTGCATTACATACAACCTTAATTTGACTTTTGATGAAAGTGCCTCATTTGTCGAGTGATTCGGGACTTGGTAGTCGAAGACCTTGTCCTCACTCTGTAATGAATGACTAAAAATGATGAACACGGGGATATACTGCTAATGCGACTCAAATGACATGCATGGAAAACAAAACTTAAAACGGGCAAATAGGTAAACAAACAAGTCGGGAAAAATGACGGAATATGCAACACATATGGGAATATTCAAATTGGTAAATAGGCAAAAATCGATAGATACGCAAATTGACAAAATTGATAAACATGCAAATAGGTAATTAGGCAAAAATTGACAAATAGGCAAAATAGGCAATCATAGGCGGAAATAGGCAAACTTAGGCAATTATGGGCAAAAATAGGCTAAAATCAGCAATTTAGGTAAAAATAAGCGAAAATCGATAATTTTGAAAAAAATAGGCTAAAGTCGGCAATGAAATCGAAAATCGACGGCTTTAGGCGAAAGTAGACTAAAATCGATAATGAAAAATGAAAGCCACGACTTTGGCTAAAATCGACAACGAAAAATGAAAACCATAGCTTTGGCTAAAATTGACAACGAAATCGTAAATTGGGGCTTTAGGCAAAAATAGGCTAAAATCAATAAAACAAACACACATAGGTAAAAGTTGACGAGAACCGACAATAGGACCAAAATCGGATAAAATGTAAAAATCGACGAAACTAATCGCTTTGGCGTACATAATCAATCATTTTTTACGAAAACGAAATTACATGATAACATTTCAAGCTTACTTGGTTCGACGTGTGTTTTTATATATTAAAATTTTTTTACCAATATAAGATGCGCTTTTGAAATATGCGTTCGACTAACAACAAATATCCACACGTTCAAACTAACGCCTCATTCGTCATCATGCCGCCCAAAAAAAATAAAATAAATGCACATCATCACAATTCAAGTAAGTTACACATGAATAAATAGGTCAAAATAATCACATCACATTCATTCAATTAATTACATGACACATATCAATCATAAAGCAAATTTAATACATGTTAAATGAATAAATAAATAAAGTAAAAAGAAAGTGAAAAAAATATTACCGTAAAGAAAAATGAGCTAAGTCGATTCGCTTGGTGGTCTCAAAGTCGAATCCGACCTTTTCAACCTCGATAGAGGCCGGTATTTAGTCAACCGGGGAGGAAAGGTGGATGGAGCGACGACCGCCGGCGAGGCGCGGACGGGCGAGCGTGCGAGCGCCGGCGAGGCACGGGAGGCGCGGGCGGACGCAGGAGTGCGCCGGCAAGGCGCGAGCGGACGCGAGGCGCCGGTGGACACGGACGTGCGCCGGCGAGGCATTGGCGGACGCACCGAAGGCGCCGGTGGAAGCGGACGTGCGCCGCGCGACGCGCCGGAGGTGCTATGTGCATGTTGAAACGGGTGATGTGCTTGGAGTGGGCTAAGGAAGGCGCTGAGGATAGGCCGCTCCGTGGGAGAAGGAGCCGAGGCCGGTGGCGTTGCTTCGCTGGCGCCGGCATACCGGTGGCCGGGCGCTAACGTGGGCGATGAGGCCGCCGACGTGGTGGAGGAGAGGGTTGTGGCGTGTGAGGAGCAGCTGCTGGTGAAGGGGTCGGCGGTTAAGTCTTTTTTAAGATGATGAACAGGTAACTTGTGTTTTTGGAGGAAATGGGTGTTTTTATACTGGGTATTTTTTTGTTAAAGGTCTTTTTGGTCCCTCACTTTACAAACTCCCTTTATTTTGACTCTTTTCTCCTTTGTTTTTCAATTGTGCCCCCAATTGCATCTTTTTTCTTTCCTTTATTTTTTTTCCTCTTTTCCTTTTTCTTTTTTTTTCTTTTTTGGACCCAAAATTGGGTGTTAACATTAGTTATCTAAATAATTATTTCATATATGTGACAAAAATGACTATAAATGTACAATATTTCAATAACATCATACTTTACTCGTCATATTTATGTGACTCTCCATCATCGTCTTGCTTCTATTGTCACGGTCATTGTTGTTATCTTAGTTTTTTTTTTTTTGTAAAACACATTTTAACCATTTTAGAATCTAGTTATTTTTATCTCGGGTTTAATTGATTAATTTTCACAACTAAAGATTGTGAATTAGTGTGAGTAATGAAAAAAAAAAACCTTACCATTACTAAATATACTAAAATATTTTGACAAAACACCATAGCTTTATTATTTCTTTTACTATAGATGATCACTCATGAGCACTAGGGATAAATACTCATGCGCACTCTTGATTTTCACTGTTTTGGCAACAAATTGCACTTTGGTTCCTATATTTAAAACTCTTTTGTTTTGATCAAAAACTTTATTTTTACATATTTTGGTCCCCGCATGCTAAAAGAAGAGAGAAACAAAGAGAGAGAAAGAGACGATGAGGCTCATTTCGTTCACCTTGATCGTCGAAATTACTTTTAATTTGTTTGTTTTTTAGATTAAAATTTGTTTGTGGTGGTAACAAATCATAAATTGGTTGGACGAAGTAAATTAGAGTTTCGAAAAATTTTGAATTTGATTTAGAATTTTATGCCTTTTTGTGTGCATTAAAATAAAATTTGATATTTTAAATGAGTTTGTGGATCTTGCTTATGTGATTTTGAGGTACTTTTGGGCAAAAGTGATGATGAACTTGGGTTAAAGAGGCCGAAAACCGCAAAAATATGTTTTTTTAACTACCTTTTCTACTCGCTTAGCTTGACCAAAAATTATAGACGAGCAATACATCGTCCACTCGCACAAGGAGTGGATGACATGTTGTTCGCTATCTATTTTTCTTTTCATCTTTTATTACTCGAGCTTGCCCCTTAGCTTCTTTTTTTCAATTTTTTTATTGAGGATTTTTAGACAAAAAATATGAAAGATCGAACATTATTTTTTATATTTTTAACGCGACTTGACAATGGTGAAATATATATATATTAGATTATATTAATCTTATTATGTAAAATTTATTCTTTTAATTTATCATTTTTTTAAATGGAAATTCTCATCTAGTGAATTTTTTAGTTTGAACAAAGTTTTATTTACTAATAAATATGATTTATTTTTCCATATTTATGGATTTTGAAATAAATTTTTAGAACATGATTTTTTTTAAAAATAAATGTATCTAATTTATATCTTGGATTCTTAGAATTTTTAAATGATAGTGACATGATTATAAATATATATTTAGTTTACATGTTAAAAGTGTATTTATATAATTTGTCTTTATTTTTTATCTTTTGATTTAAGCTTAATACTCTCAACCTACTAAATATAGTAGTGATGTACAAGAAAAAAATATTGAATCACCTATCTTATAAAAAATTAACTATGCATCCATACACATAATATCAATCATTTATTTTTTTAATACCATAAAATTAATTTTTTTGAAATAATTGAAATATTGTTTTTAAAAGAACCTCACAATAATTCAAATATAGTTGTTTATACTAACATTAATAATCTTCTTATCAGCATCAAATTAATATATAAAAAAGTATTTTTCATACTATTTTATGAAAAATATAATTTTATAGCATATTTTTTAATCTTATATTAACTTTTCAATTTAGATTATTACAAACTTTTATTTAAAAATTAATGCATAAAAAATAACCATTCATGTTTTTTTTTTTTTTGTTGAAAGATTATGAAAATAAATAAAGAAGAATTATCTAAACAAAAAATTTTAATTAAAAAAATATAAATTTTAGTTTTTTTTTTTTGACATTTAATTTGACATGTTTTGATAGATTTACAATTACCTAAAAAAAAAAATCGGACTGTCCCCTTAAATAATGTGACGTGCATCAGGCGTCACCTCGTCCCATAAAGTAAGTCATAGGCAAAGTCAAAGCCGTTAATTAGTAAATTGTAAATTAGTCTCTGTAGTTTCTATAAATGAATTAATTAGTTTTTTAAATTTTAAAAATTAATTATTTAGTCTCTTTAATATTGTCAACCACACTTCATTTAAAATTATTTTATTTTTTTATCAATGCTTTTATAGTTTTTACTTATTTTTTATTGTATTTTTTAAAAAATAAAATAAATTAAAAAAGAACAGAAATAATAAGTTATAAAAATTTTAAAATATAAGGATTAAATAATTAAATTTTAAAATAAAAAATTAATCAATTCATTTCTCCGCGCTGAAGGGACTAATGGTAGAAGAAGCAGGCAAACAGCCCCTTCCCTTGATCCGGATCGTTTGTAAAGAGAGATGCCCTTCGTCTGTCATCTCGACTAAGCCAACACTTGGCTCCTACTTTCACGTGCCCACACCACCAAGGCTTCTTCTCTTCTCTTCTCTTACCTTTTGCAGCTATCTGCTTTTCCTAGCTTATCTAATCTAATCTCTCTCTCCCTCATCTCGGGTATGGTCTTTTTCTTCTTTTCTTTTTTCCTCTTGTTATTGCTGGTGATTAGTTTTCTTGTTTGACTTGTTTATATCACTGATACATCATCGATTTGATAATCGAGTTCTTCATTCTTTAGATGACTGTTTTCACACTATTTTGATTATAGAGACCAGAGAATCACTCCTTTTTAATTAAATTGTTCAGAAAAAGAAAAGAGAAGAAGAAACAAGAAGATGACTAACTAGACTGAATTTTTAAGCTATTTTTATGGCTTAGCCACTCTCAATTTATCGCCTTCTTTTTTTTGCGGAACAGTAACACGATAATTACCATTTTTATTGCTTGACAGACACAAGGCGGCTTCTCTAGACATGGCTTCATCAACTGTAATTTACGAAACCCAGCCATGGAAGGACTTGAAGGTAAAATGCTTATTACTTTGAATGATATAAAAGCTACCTGAAAAAGACATTATTGATATTAGTAATCGGTATTTTTTTATTATTATTATTATTACTTCGCAGTCTCATGTTGAAGACATTAGGAAGACTCATTTACGCGAGTTGTTGAGTGACACTGACCGATGCAAGTCGATGATGGTGTAAGTTTGTTTAAAGTTTTCTCTTTTTTATTTTACTGTGTAGTTGTGAATTTGGTTTGTAATGCTTTTGTGCATTTTCGATAGTGATTTTGATGGAATAACACTCGACTACTCACGCCAACGAGCCACTCTTGGTACCATGGATAAACTTTATAATCTGGCAGAGGTAAATTTTGTTTTTTTGTTTGTTTGTTTTTTTTTTTTTTTTCCTTTCTAGAACAGAAGTTCTGGAATTCTTACTGCCAGGGCACGGTAGCCTCTCAAGCCACCATGTGTGGGAAGCATTAATTGCTCCGTGAACTTATTTTTTTACCACTCATTAATATTTTTGTCAGTTATAAATCAGTAATCTTGATTTCCAAAGTGTTTTTGAAGCAATTAATGCTACCCAAGATTTGGTGGCCTGAGAAGTTGGCATTCATTAGGCAAAACAGGAAATTTTTGTTCCTTTTTCCAGTGCTTGAAAGGATTTTTGCAGTTTAATTATCTAATGTAAGTTACATTTCACAATACAGGCAGCCCATCTCAAGGAAAAGATCAATCGCATGTTTAATGGGGAGCGTGTGAGTCATATTTTGTTTCTGTAATCTTATCCATGCTAAGCTTATGTGAAATTGGCGTACTGATCTTTTTTCTGTGAAGAAATTCACTGTTCTTTATGAATTATCGATCTGTGCTCCTGAATTTTGTGGTTATAATGACTTATCAATGGCCCCCTTTTGTTAGAGTAGAGGGTGTCCAACTCTCTTGATTTTAGTTATTAATAATCATATGACGTATGATTTCTAAGTTTTTTTATTGTATTCGTGTATTTTTTAGAATATGGTTGTACAAATATGTTGTCTAATGTTCAGGTGGAACCTTTCAGATCAACAGCACTGAGAATAGGTCGGTGCTTCACGTAGCTCTTCGTGCTCCAAGAGGTGCAGTTATACAAAGTGATGGCAAGAATGTTGTACCAGATGTTTGGAATGTTCTGGACAAGATCAAGAATTTCTCTGACAGGATCCGCAATGGTTCTTGGGTAATCTCCGGTTCTTTTTCTCAGTTTCAGTTGATATACATGATGCCGAAATTGTCCAGTAATGGATTGATTTTTCATAGGTTGGAGCCACAGGAAAAACACTTACTGATGTTATTTCTGTCGGCATTGGTGGCAGCTTCTTGGGTCCACTTTTTGTTCATACCGCTCTTCAAACAGGTTCTCTGCTGCTTTATTTACTAAAGCTGCACCATTCTGTTTACTTGTATTATTATCATTGGATTTTAGTTTTGTTTTCTTAATAAAACCTTTTGACCTTGTTTTATGGCAAAAGCTTGCTTAAATTTTAATTGTTGACTGATTGCAATTGACAGATCCAGAGGCTAGCAAATGTGCTGCAGGACGCCAACTGCGATTGTAAGCATGTGTTTCACTATAACTTCAAAATTCCTTAGTTTCTGTGTTAGTGGTTTTCAAGCCTCTCCTCCTAAACTCATGGAGGTAGGCTTCAGTGTTTTAGCAAAGGTCCACTTGGTTTCAGCAATAATTATTGAGCCTGTGCAATAAATTTATAACTCATTGCTGCTGATCTTAATTATTGAAGAGGGGCATATGCCCATGAGATACTATCTAAACTCTAAACAATTTCATGCATGAAATTATAAATAGGATTCAGACAAAATTATGTTGAATACAGGTATTGTGTATCGCAGGGGATGGAGCTGACAAGAGCTTGCCTTTTCTTTTCCTTTCCCTTTGTTTTGACAGGAGGGGGAAAAGGGAACATGCAAAGGCTAGATGTATCTTAAAAGTTGCATTATTGTACATAGTGCATCATTTAACAGGCCACTACTGAGTTGCAATGCACATTATGACATCCGTTCAGAAATGATGTAAACATATAGTGGACTTGTTTCATGTGTAGACAACTAGTCACAGGTTCATTCATGGTTTCAGGGGTCATCTTGTATGATGTTTATGATTGTGTTTATAACTTGCTTATAAGGCAACTGTATCATTATATTCTTTTAAAATGCAAACTGATTTTTGTTTTGCATTCACCAGTCTTGCAAATGTAGATCCAATTGATGTCGCGAGAAATATTGCCGGCCTCAACCCTGAAACTACTCTTGGTAAATAATAGTTGTTTGTTTTTTCATGTCACTAGTGCTGTTGTATATATTTTACTCGAGTTCCTTTTCTTATTTCAAATCCTAAATCTTTTTTTTTTTTTTTGGTTACATGTAGTTGTCGTGGTTTCAAAAACTTTTACCACAGCTGAAACTATGCTGAATGCTCGAACACTAAGGGCATGGATTTCAAAAGAACTCGGGTCAGTGCAAAAACTATACTGGTCTTTCTTCTTTAAGAATTCTTAAAGTATCTAGTATTGGATGATCTGGAATTTAACTTCATAGCATTTTGGCATAAAAGAAAAGCCGAGGATTGATTTGAGAGTGACAATAGCATGTTTTCTGAGATTAAGACAGTAATGCTTACAAATAGTTCGCATAGAAATTGCAGTTTTTACTCTTGTAATTGTCCCATCTCTCTCCCTCTCTCCTGTGACTATAACGTGTGACCATTCTGCAACTTATTTTCAGGCCCTCTGCAGTTGCCAAGCATATGGTTGCAGTTAGCACTAATCTTACGGTATTGTGACTTTATTTTGTTTGCACTTTAACATTCTTCAGTTTCTAGGATAATTGAAGTTCTATGGTGTTTTAAAAATTCATTTTCACTGCTCCCTTTAAATTATTTTCTATAAATGGCTTGTCTTTCTTCTTTTCTTCTTCCAGAGATGCCCTTTTTTCTGGATACTTCTATCCTCAATTTTTTTTGCCTTTTTTTTTTTTTTTTTTTTTTTTTTTTTTTTAAATCTAATGCAGCTTGTGGAAAAGTTTGGAATTGACCCTAATAATGCTTTTGCCTTCTGGGACTGGGTTGGTGGCAGATATAGTGGTAGGTTTCTTCTCTTTTAATGGACGAAATTAAGATGTACTTCATGTAGAATCCTCATTGGTATCGTTGCTTGCAGTTTGCAGTGCTGTTGGCGTGTTGCCTTTGTCTCTCCAATATGGTTTCTCCGTTGTTGAGAAGTATGGTACCTTCTGATGTTTTAATTCACTAAGTCAGATTTTTCCTGTACCATTATTTTAAGGGCTGCAAGATACCATGACAAAAGTGCCAAGGATTCTCAATGTAGCATAGAAAGATGTATAGTGTACACCTAATCACTTTTTTGTCATGAAGTGCCCAAGGAGTTTTGCTCCTTTGATACCTTGATATCAACTTTAGTTTCCAACTCATCCTCTAGTTACTTGCCTAAACTTTTCTGGTTTTTTTGTTAGGATTTGTTGCATAGTTGATAAAAGCTTTTATTTTTCTACCTGAAGGTTCTTGAAAGGAGCATCAAGCATTGATCAGCATTTCTATTCTGCACCATTTGAGAAAAATCTACCTGTAAGTGCTCCAATATCATGAACTTATCAAAAATATGTTTTTCTTATCCCAGAAATATATATGATTCTTACCAATGGTGCTTAATCGCTTTCAACATGGGTAGGCTCTGGATGAAGCAGTTAGTATGGTTTATGATTGCTTTCGTTGAGACCCTCTTAGTTTTTGAAGTTTTGGATTCACTATATGCTATATGTCATTTGCCTTGCGAATATCCATTTGGTAGATTATCCAGACAGGCTTGAGTCCTGTATATGGTTTATGAGATTACAGTTACATGTTGATAGCTTTCTGACTTTCTCCTCCAGGTAGTTTTAGGTCTGTTGAGCACGTGGAATGTTACATTTTTTGGATATCCCGCAAGAGTGAGTATTTCTTCACTAGATCTATTTGAGTTACCACTCATTTAGAATTCTCAATTACTGTAACTTTACCAGTGTTTCCCATAACTCATTCTACTACTCCTTCAGGCCATCTTACCTTATTCTCAAGCCCTGGAGAAATTTGCACCCCACATTCAACAGGCAAGCCTACTTGAGCTCAAACTTTCTTCTCCCTTTTAATATAATTATGTAAAGAAAAAAAAAGAGAGAAAATCTCTGTATTAAAGTACTCAAGGGTTGTTTATTTTACTTGAATCTAGGTCAGCATGGAAAGTAATGGAAAGGGGTTATCTATTGATGGTTTACCACTTCCCTTTGAGACTGGTGAAATTGATTTTGGTGAACCAGGAACAAATGGTCAGCATAGCTTTTATCAACTAATTCACCAGGTGATTTCCTGTTCTGTTTTACATTTGGTAGAAGTAAAATCAGTTCAATGGATTACTACATTGATTTTTTAATATTCAGTTCTAGAATTCAAATAATTCTCTAGTTCTATGAATTCAATGAAGCAATCCCTGCATATATTTCTAATCTTAAGATCTGGCTTCAAGATTTTGCCGATGTTTTCCTGCACGCACCTTGTGTAAACTTGACAACTTCGATACTCATGATGTATATGTTCCTTGACGGCATGTCTTTTGTGTTGGAACACGAAATTTAGTTCTGCATTTTGGATGGTTTCTGATTGAATAGTGACATGTTCTCTCCCAATTTGTGTGGTACTAACTTCAATTCCCATTTGCTGCATATTTGTTAACTCATCCTCTTGAAATTTTCAGGGACGTGTGATTCCCTGCGACTTTATTGGTGTTGTGAAGAGTCAGCAACCAGTATACCTGGAAGGTATTTTGTCAAAATTATGATTCATAAGGTCAATTTTGTTTTTGTTTTTTTTTTGTTTTTTTTTTTTTTTTTTTAAGGTTTGGATTTTTTTAGTTATGCTTATTTGATTTCAAATTAATTCATTCACAGGAGAGGTTGTGAATAACCATGATGAACTCATGTCCAACTTTTTTGCCCAGCCAGATGCCCTTGCATATGGGAAGGTAGGTTTAAGCATTTATATATCTATTAAAAAGAGAAAAAAATATAAGAAACTATATCCATGCTACAAGGGCAAAGATGTATTACTGCCCTAACTGATTCATGGTGAAGGGTTTGTCTGCAGCGTGCATCTAATTATTTATTTATTTATTTATTTTTTTTGGCAGACACCAGAAGAGTTGCAAAAAGAGAATGTTCCGCAGAATCTCATACCTCACAAGGTGAATCCACAGACTTCTATACTATAGCATAGCTTTACCAATTACTGCTGGATGATGATTATTATTAAGCATTGCTTTGTCTTTCCCAGACCTTCTCTGGCAATAGGCCTTCTCTCAGCCTTCTGCTCTCGTCATTGGATGCTTACAAAATTGGACAGGTTTGTGGCTTCTGCTTGTTAATGAAGTAGTTGTGCTAATAGAGTATTTGAGTGCAAGTTTACTCTTTGGAAATCACATGCTTGGGAAAGCTTAGCATATTTATCAGAAACTTTTAATGATACTTTGGTTAGTGATTCTACTTCCAGTGGGAATTCTGCTTGTCACATGTTGTCCTGCATTTCGTAATCCAGAAAAGATTTCCCATTATATAGCAACAGCAGCAGCATGTAATCTGTACTTGAATTGGGAATTTCTGTAGTGAAAGTCATGTGAAAAAGAAAAAAGAAACAAAGAAATGTCCTGTACCCCCACCTAATTCTTTGGTTCACCCACTCTCCAAGTGCTTATGCTTGCTTGAACCTGCTGTCCCATGTTCTCCATGTACCATTCCATGTACTCAATTCAGGTTGCATTTTTTTACAATGCGTTCATTGGTCAAAGTGTCTGTTCTTTCATTGCTCTATTGTCTATATAAACTGCCAGTGGTCTAATAGCAGAAAATCTTTTCTTTTCAGTTGTTGGCAATCTATGAACACAGAGTTGTCGTGCAAGGCTTCATATGGGGGATCAATTCTTTTGACCAGTGGGGAGTTGAGTTAGGAAAGGTATGAATTACCTCAGGAACTAGTTGTTTGATCCTTACCGAACAAACATGCTGTCCAAGAATTATACTTTCTTCTGAATGAAATGTTGTCTTTCCTGTTCTTCCTTCGCAATTTACCTTTTGGTAGTCCTTGATCTAAATATGTCTCTTTTGTTTTCTTAACACAGTCGTTGGCTACTCAAGTTAGAAAGCAACTTCATGCATCTCGTGTGAAGGGAGAACAGGTTGAGGGCTTTAATTTCAGCACTACAACAATGCTCACAAAATATCTAAAGGTATACGGATATGCTATCCAACTGACAGCAGAAACAGATAACTTGGAAACAACCTGCTGGCAAAAATTATTCATTGTAGCCAAAGAACTATTCTCTCTGAACAGTTACAGCAAGTTAAAGAAACATAAAATTAAACCTAGTTATGGTACTATCGCTGAAATTGAGTTTTACTTGGCAGGAAAGTTCTGATGTTCCAGCTAATCCTCCAACTCTTCTACCTCGGATATAACTTCATTTCACCGATACATTGGCTCCAGTCTTCTCTGATTGACCTGAGGTTTCAGCTTTGTTCTACAAGTTCTTGGAATCTTAAATATGGCAGACACAGACACTTAAGTTATTTTCTGAAATTTTCCTAATGTTGAAAGATTCCTTTCCAATCCGAACAAGGCTAAAATGAATACCTGCAGTTAGGCTTGCAGGTTCTCATGACTCGTGAGGCCGAATAATTAAATTTTTGCCCCCGTATTTTCAATAAACAATAAACGTTTGTATGGAATGCTTGTCCATGAATTCTATCAGCCTACGGAGGCTGGGTGCTCCTGCGAACCTCATTGTTGCATTGCCGCACAATTGTTTATTTACAGCATTATGACACCTGCTATTTTGATTTTAGGGGGCTTGAAAGCCAATTGAATTATTCTTGAACCCACCTGTAAAATTCAAAGAAAGAGGAGAAAAACGGTGGACATGGTCCTAAACTTTCATTGCATCAGATCTAGGACTTGATGCTGATCTTCTCTGGCATGGCTTCTAAGTTCCAACTTCTCGTTCTCACTTTTTCTTCTTCATTTTTGAAAAACCACATGACAGATAAAGTAACGAGCCCTGTGCTCTCAGCTACAGCGCGCCCTCACCAATTTTCACTGATTATAATGTCTTTTTTGGGACGTGCAAAAGAAACAGCAGTCCCAGCAATTGTTTTTGCAAGGCAATGCACTTACGATCATTTATACTCGTGAGGGAACCTGACTTCGTAGGAATGGATGCTTAAAACTAGCTCTGGAGCTGATGTTAGACATGGATGTCGGTGGTGATAGTTGCAGACAAGAAGGGAACCGAGCAAGAAGAAAACCATTTTTTGATGTTTTTGGCTTTTCGCTTCTTTTGAGGCAAGAAAAAAAAGACCTTAAAATATTTTTGTCACTTATATGGTGTTTGAACGTGATTACCTTTTTTTTTTTTTTTTTTACTATATATATATATATATTATTTTTTTTGAAAATAAATTTATAGAATAAATATTATTAATTAATCTTTAAATCTTTAATTTTTTTTCCATAAAAACCCCAATAAGACGAACATGAACATATGAGGTTAACCGGCCACAAGTTAAACCTGTCAGACGCTACGATGTATGCTGTATGCTGTCTAGGGTTATCCATTTCTCTCTCTTTTCGAAACAGAATCTATATTGTTGTTTCAGTAAAGCCACCTTAATTTGTGCATGTTTTGGTACATTTATCGCCCTCAGAAGAGGGAAATGAAGATAAACCTCACGAGTATCTGTCCACCAAGTCACTATATCTCATGTGCAAAACACACAGGTAAATTTATCTCAAGAATGGAAAGTCTTTTATTGGATTGGGTGTATTTTACCTCTCCTCTAAGCTCGAACCTTTTCCATTTCGGCCTTTATGGTTTTAATTTTCTCAATATCAAATATGAAGCTTTCACGCAAAAATTCTAATCTGGATTCTAATGATTAAATAGGTAGTTAAAAGTTAACAAAAACACCCTATGCCTTTTTCCTTTTTTTTTTTTTTTTTTTTTTTTTTTTTAACTCGGTAATTTCCATGTACACAATAATATTTTCAAAAAATTCTTTGAAATGGGATCATGTTTTACTCTTCATCCATGTACTTATTTATCGAACAAGATTCGAATTATAGGTTTTATACCCTGTTTATTTTACAATTGGATCAATGTTTCTTATTCTCTACAATATTTTTTAATATGGTATAATAAATTCCTATGATACGTTAAAAAAAGTCAAGGTAGAATGATTATGGATTGATTACTTAAAAAAATGATCATAGCAATCCATTATAATAAAACACCATATTAATTAAATTGCTATCCCTGGTCATCAAGAAACATCATGGTTCGAAAATTTACTATACGCAGTGTAAATCATTGTTCTCCCCTTCATAAATCACTATTCATTATTGTAGCTTATGTTTTTTTTTAAAAAAATTCAAATTGTTTCATTTTGATCCCTAAAAATTTAAAATAAAAATTTTAATCCCCTAATTGATGCACTACATATGTCTTTTTTTTTCATTTGCTTTTTTTCATCAATTTATGTTCTTTTTTTATTTAATTGGGTGTTAAAATTTTGAAAAATCAATTTTTTCTTTTCTTTTTTTCATAAATTTATGTTTTTTTTTTAAATTTAATTGGGTGTTAAAATTTTAAAAAATCTATCATAATATTTTTTCACGTAAACTGATGATTATATAATATATCTTTTTATATTTTAAAATTAACATATACTTCAACTTATATTGCTCTTATTATTTAAATTTCATTCTTTGAATTTATTATTTTTTATAAAAAATTCTCATCAAATCAATATTTTTTATATGAAATTTTCTTTACTGATAAATATAATTTATTTTTCAAGATATTTGAATTTTAGAATAAGATTTTAAAACATTATTATTATTTTTTTAATAATAAATTAGTATAATATATATCATGAATTCTTAGACTTTTTAAATGATAGTTGTATATATATATAAATATATAATTATTTTATTCTAAAATGTTAAAAATGTATTTCAAATAATTTATTTTAGTTCACTATGTATGGTGAAGACGTATAAAAAACCCATTAAATTGTTGATTTTATTAAAAATTAATTATACATCTTCCAACATAATACAAATTATTTACTGTGAATTTTTTTTTAACATTATAGAACCAATTTATTTGAAATAAAATAATTAAAATAATTTTTTAAAGGAACCAACCAATTATTTAAATACTATTTTATGCTAATTTTATTGATTATTTTTTAAATAAATATATATAGATAAAATGCATATACTTGGAAAAACAAATCTTCTCACCAACATTAAATAAGAATAAAATTTTATTTTTTCATTGGTTAATTTTTATGTAAGTCTATACATTAATTGTAACTTTATTTTTTGGATACATTCTTATAAAAATATAATTTTAAAGTTTTTGTTTTTGAATTCTTAATTAATATTTCAAGTTTAAATTATTATCATTTTTTATTTAAGAATCCTGAATAAAGAAGAATAAATCATGTTTTTTTAATAAAAAATTATATGAAAAATACACAAAAAATAGTAATAATTAAATAAAAAAATTAATGAAAAAATTATAACATTTTGAAAAGATTTTGTTCTATCTACCCGTAGCATTGCGAGGATAATTTCAAAAATTAATTTTTTTATCAGCATTAAATAAGATTTTTTTTTCATTTGTTAATTTTTGTAAAAGTCTATCCATTAGTTATAACTTTATTTTTTGAAATACAATAATATGAAAATTATATATTTATTTTTTTAATTGTTGATTAATATTTTAGTTAAAATTATTATAATTTTTAATTTTAAAATCAATCCATAAAGAAGAATGATTTATGTTTTTTTTAAGCAAAAAATTTATAAAAAAAATTAGAAAAATTAATTAAATAAAAAATTATAATTAAAAAATTTTAAAATAATTTTGTTCTACCGAATACATAGCATAGCACGAGTAACTAGCTAGTTTGAAACTAAAGAGAATGAAATGAAAATATTATTAAATTTATAGAGACTAGAATATATCTTATCTTTCTTTTTAATATTTTTTGAGATTAATAGCTTTATACATCCTTATATAATAACTTAAATTTTCAATATGCCCTTATGTCATAAATCCACCTTATTATATTCTTGTTATTTTATTTAGTTTTTAATTCATATTTTCAGTCAATTTTTTCAGCAAAACCATTGGAAATTGACATGTGACTTGCACATGACTTGTATTTTAACAAAAAAGCTCTCAAGTTAATTTTTTTTCCATAAAAAACTGACTATGAATATTTTGATTTGTTTCCGAGGGATAAAATGTTACTTGGTTTTTTTTGAACCGGAAGAATATTTAGATGAGAGTTAAGACATGTTAGAATTTCAGTCCTATAATTAAAATTCATTTCATATTTTCACAAAAATTTAATTAAGGCCAAAGAGATATAACAGGGTTGTATAAAACGAAGGAGGAAGACGAAAACAGAAAAAAGAAAAAAAAGAAATTACTTGAGGGATATTTTTGTCACAAAACAGGTTATGTACAAATCACTGTTAATTCCTAGTTATTTTATTAGAAAAAATTGATAAAAAATTAAAAATTAATTAAAATAACAAGAGTATAATAAAGTCATTTTAGGATACAAGAATAAATTGTAAATTTAAACTATTATAGGGTATAAGAATAAATTAGAAATTTAAACTGTCATATAAAAATAGATAAAGTATTAATACTATTTTTGGAGAAAAGAAAATATTTGATTTGGAGAAGTAAATACACTACTCTGTAGAGCGCGTGTAACTAGCAAAAAAGGCATAAGCCAAATAACCCCGTCTATCAGTAACTCGGACAGCCAAATCCCCTCGGCTTTTGCTAACGTAAGCCGGTCAGTGATATCATTTTAACCTACCCTTTATATTCCCTCTTCCCCTGTTTGCCCCCCTTTTTTCTTTCACCTAGCTCAAGCAAACCAAAAGCAACACACCCAAATATCTCCCTTGGCGCTCTCTTTTTCTCACCGATCAGCCATGGCTAATAATTCCGCCTCAGATTCCCGTCACGTCCTCTCCCTCATGCCTCCTTTCCAGATCTCCAAAGGTAACAATTTGTAACTCTCTCACGCTTCTCTTAAACCTCTTTCAGTTTATTTTTCCGTCTTTTAATTTAGTTTCTTCTTCCTTTTCTTTTGGGGGAAAAAACAAAACCCTAGCTTTTATCTTTTTATTTTGAGCTGGTATTTGCTTATTTTCAATCCTTAAAAATAATTATTGTGGATGTTGTGGCTTTCTGCGACAGAATGTTGGTTTTGATTGATGATTCTTTTAGGGTTTTGTGTTTGTTTCTGCAAATGCGAGAATATTATTGGGTTTTTGTTTATTTTTTTTTAAAGTTTTGGATTAAGCAGGGAAGCAGCGAAAATGCCATCAATTCGTTTAATTATCTGTCGTTGGCTAAAGATTTTTTTTTTAAATTAATTTTTGTTTTTTTTTTTTTTGGGGTTTCAAGGGATAAAGTTGAATGGTTATCATTTTATTGATTTTTTTTTTTAATTTTGAAGAATTATTTTGTTTGTAATATTTTTGGCTGCTTTTTTTTTTTTTTAATAATTGTTTTCAGCCCCTTTGCATGTTTAGTCATTGGCGTATGCATCAAAAGACTTGATATTTCTTCCTTTGCGGGTAGAGCCACTTTGGTAATAGAGGCACTTGTTAAGTTTGCATGATTTCAATTGCGTTTATTGTGTTCATACTTGGGACCTGTTGATTTATGCACAGTATTAATTTTTTTTTTTTAATAATTCACGACTGTCAGAACCTACTTGTGTTAACTCATCCTTTAGAGCTTAGAAAAAAAAAGTCAAGCTGCTGTAACTCTTACTCTAGAGAATGGCAGTTTACTTTTCTCACTGGGCCAAAAAGGATTATAATCTGGTGATCGAAGCCTTAAGAGGAACTATTTAGTTGTCTTGTATAAAAATAAAGAAACGAACTTCTTTTATTTTTTGTTTAGTTTCTTGCTTCTGGGTTATTGTTAAGCTCTGTTTTCGCTATTTCTATTCCAATGGTCTCCTATGGAATGCTCTGATTCTTTAAGGTTGAAGGTGTATTTGTCCTAAGCAACAAGTTTCAGGGAATAAGAGCTATAATCATCTGCCAAATGGAAGTTGATATGGCTTCTAATGTCAAGATTCTGCATTTTTATCTCATCAATATTATTTTATTCAAGAAGACAACAGGGAAAAGGTTTCCAGTTCCTCAGCAATTATGTTGCTTTTGCTAAATTAATGGAATTCAGATCAATAAATGCCAGTAATTCAATGGAATAGCTGAGTTATTGGTTTGGAAACATGTGGAAAGATGTTTTTGTTGATTCCTACTGTTTATTTCATGCAGATGCTCAAGGTTCTGACAGTTCAATTCCGCTTTCACCACAGTGGCTTCTGCCAAAACCAGGCGAGAGTAAGCCTGGAGTGGGAACTGAGGTCTGTCATCACAACTTTTTGACTGTATTAAGATCTTTTTTAACACAGAACTTGCTTATTCATGGAAAATTTTGTATTTTTTACATTAAATTCCTTAGATGGATGTAGCCTCTTGCTGTCATCATGCAAATCCATGTTAACTGTTTGATGGGATTACTTTAGTCTGAAATTTGATCCTCTTCCTTTTGTGGTGTTGGTGGGGGTTGGTTTTTATACAGGAAAGCTCCCCACTTCCAGCTTACATTCGCTCAGATAGCATGAAGACATCAGGAAACGCCGAGGAGATGCATGAGCAGAAGAAAAAGGATGTTTTTCGGCCTTCATTGCTTGATATGGAAACTGGTCGCCGTGATCGTTGGCGTGATGAGGAAAGAGACACCAATTCCTCCTTGCGCAAAGATCGCTGGAGAGATGGAGATAAAGAGGTTGGTGATAGCCGGCGGATGGACCGCTGGATGGAGAATTCATCCACCAGACACTATGAAGCACGCCGTGCTCCTTCCGAGCGCTGGACTGATTCAAGCAATAGGGATACTAATTATGATCAGCGGCGTGAGACCAAATGGAACACACGTTGGGGGCCTGATGACAAGGACACTGAAGGTTTGCGTGAGAAGTGGACTGACTCTGGCAGAGATGGTGACACAACATTTGAAAAGGGGCTGTCCCATCATTCTAGTCATGGAAAAGATGAACGGGAGGGTGATCATTCTCGGCTGTGGAGATCTAACTCATCACAAGGTCGAGGGAGGGGAGAGTCTCCTCATCACCAAACTCTAACGCCAAACAAACAGGTTCCAACCTTTTCTTATGGCCGAGGACGTGGGGAGAATACTTCAACGTTTTCACTTGGTCGTGGAAGGTTTAGTTCTAGTGGAATCTCCATGAACAACATTTCCACTAATTCCCAATATTCAGGAGCTATTTCAGACAAAGGTGAAAGTGGCCCTTTAAGATATAGTAGGACTAAATTGCTAGATGTATACAGGACGACTGACATGAAATCACGCCAATTATCAAATGGTTTTGTGCAAGTGCCTTCTCTTACACTGGAAGAATCCTTGGAGCCACTGGCACTTTGTGCTCCTACTGCTGAGGAAATGGTAAATTTGTATTTATGGAATATCTTGGTGGATGGATACTATCGTTGCTTTATGTTTATAGGATTTCTTTATTGCCTGAGTAGGTAGTTTTAAAGGGAATTGACAAAGGGGAGGTAGTAAGCAGTGGTGCACCTCAGATATCAAAAGAAGGATCTCTTGGTCGGAACTCAACAGATTCTACACAACCAAGGAGAGCCAAGATTGGTACTTTACCTTTCAAAGCCTTTTTTTTTTTTTTTTGCAGTTTGCTGACACATATTCTAGGGTTAGGAAATAATTCTGTTTGGATTGGCATGTCTGAGCAGGCGGTAGAGAAGATGCACCACATTCTTTTGATGATGGTAAAGATGAAAGTGTCGACAATTCGATGGGGGGTGGTCATGGAACGTATTCTGATGGATTGTCTCATGAAAGACAGACACAATATCACGGGTCGAGCTCAAAATTGGAAATGATGCAGGAACATAAGATGTATACTGATAACAAGTTCAAAGCTGAAGGTAACTGACACAGACATACTATGAGTGAAGTGGTCTGTGCATGTGTTTATTAAGCTAAGCAGGCAGCCTTTGAAATAATCCAATGAGCTGGGAAGGTGGCCCTTTTCCGTCAAATTTAGCATGACTAGAGAAACAATTATCTCAAACATTGATTTGCTGAAAATTTGTGGTTTGTTGTTTGTTATAAATTGGTTTTGATGATAATTTTCATCTGTGCTTTACCGTCTGCCTCCTTTTACACTTTGTCCAGTCTGCAAAAGTTTGGATGTTCCTGTATGAGAAAGTGGTTCCATTTAAAGTGCCCATAGTCTAGGTGCATTTTAATAATTATTGCTTTCCATATGCAGCTTTTAGAGAAACCAGTCCTTACAACAAAGCTGACGAGGCGCCTATAAGTAGGGAATTGGCTGTGGAGGGAAATACTTCTGCTCATTTTGGAACTCCATCTCCTTGGCGAGCCCCATCATTGGTAGAACAGTTGAATACTGTCTCACATGACTGGAGGGATGTTTCAAATGATTTCAGGCCAAAGGCTGCTGATATGGCCCGGAATCAACCCCATAAAGACCCTGAAAATCCATGGGAAAGTAATTTGGCCAATCCTTCATTTTCAAGAGATGAAGCAAAATGGAAGACCAATGAGGACCCCATTATTAATAGGCAGTCATCTGCTGTTCTGGACAGGGAACAAGAAGTTAAGAAGTTTTCTCAGCCCTCTCCCGAGAACCTGGTTCTTTATTATAAGGATCCTCAGGGTGAAATTCAAGGTCCCTTTTCTGGCAGTGATATCATTGGATGGTTTGAGGCTGGATTTTTTGGCATAGATTTGCAAGTTCGGCTGGCAAATGCATCAAAGGACGCACCTTTTTTATTGCTTGGTGATGTCATGCCTCATTTGCGAGCCAAGGCAAGGCCACCGCCTGGGTTTGCTGGGACGAAACAGAATGAATTCACTGACACATCTAGCAGGCCAAATGTTAGCAGCTTTGGAAACTTGCATTCCAGCTTAAATGAGCTTGATATTATAAGAAATGATCCAAGGTCTAAACCAGGTTCGACAACAGAAGCTGAAAACCGATTTTTGGAGTCACTGATGTCTGGAAACATGGGTGCTTCATCCCAAGGTTCAGTTACCTCCAGCACATTTCCATTTTAAAGGATAAACTGTGTTTTAATTGAGCAGCTCTATGCTTTGGCCATTTCCCCTTAAGTTTCTAAAAGTAGTCGTCATCTTGTAGCATCTTTATGTGATTTTGATGGTTACATTTTCTCTGTAGGTTCTCATGGAATCACTGGAAATAGTTCTGGTGGTATGCCACCATTGGGAGTTGAAGGTGGGAATGATCTACACCTGTTGGCATTGAAAATGGCACTTGAACGGCAGAGATCGTTACCCAGTCCTCATCCATATTGGTCAGGAAGAGATGCTCCATCCATGGTTTCAAAGTCAGAAGTTCACTCAGACTCCCCGATGCAACATGCAAAACTCCTACCCTCATTGGGTGACAATCCACATCAGCCTCCCCATTCTCAAAATGCAGATTTGATGTCCATCCTTCAAGGCCTATCTGACAGGCCTGTCTCTGGCATAAATAATGGTGTTACCGGTTGGTCAAATTTCCCTGTCCAGGGCAGTGTGGATCCACTTCAGGATAAGATTGACTTGCATCATGCTCAGAGTTTTCCTCCACAACCACTCTTTGGGCAACAACAGAGACTGCAGCTGCAGAACCCACCTTTAACAAACCTACTCGGTCAAGCCATAGATAACACATCTGGTATTTTGACACCTGAAAAATTGTTGTCCTCAGGTTTACCCCAGGATCCACAGTTACTCAACATGTTGCAACAGCAGTACTTGCTGCAGTCACAATCCCAGGCTCCTCTTGCCACACAGCAGCTTTTGTTGTTGGATAAGCTTTTGTTACTCAAGCAGCAGCAGAAACAGGAGGAGCATCAACAGTTGTTGCGGCAACAACAGTTACTTTCCCAAGTTATGTCAGAGCACCATTCTCATAAGCGTTTAGGTGAGCCATCTTATGGACAGTTACAGACTGCTGCAATAGCGACAGGAAATGCATTGGATCCTTCTCTGCTGCAGCAATCCAAAGAATTGTTTCCAATTGGTCCTCAGTTGCCAGTTTCAAATGTGCAAGATGAACACAGTACTAATTTCTTGAATTTGCCGCCTCAAGTTACCCATGATGTCACTTATAACGTCAATTCTGAAGCATCTTCTCTCCATCTTCCGCATCAAATGCTTGGGAATGTCAATCTTCAAAAAAGCTGGGGTACAGTTCCTGGAAAAGTAGGTGATATCCATCAGAAAGATTCCTTGCCAGCATCACAATTTGTTGATAGCTCATCCTTGCTAGGGTTGATGAACAAATCTTCACAGCAGTCTTCTCTTGCACCTGAACCTGTCATCTCTGCTGATTTCCATGTCCCTCTTTCGCTGGGCCGTACATTAGAAGTTCCTTGGAGAACTGAAGAAAGTGCAAAGGTTTTGGCATCTGGGGTTATTGCAGATTCTGTTCATCAGAATTCTCTTGGAACCTCTGATCCAATAGCATTAGCAGGAACTGGTGAGAATGCAATTTCAAAGCCTGAACATTCCCCTGTTCTAAAAGTTGAACTAGATAGCGCACTTGATGAGCAGCAGGTTGATATAGATCGATACAATACCGAGCCTTGTGTGGCAACAGAAGTGAAGAACATTGAAACTCGTGAGGTAAGGAAAGCTTCTGAGAAGAAATCCAGAAAGCAAAAATCTGCCAAGTCAAACTCCTCTGACCAGGCAAAGGGAGCATTGAAGGCTTCCTCTTTGCAGCAATCAAAGCAATCTGAAAATGAGGGGCCAAATGCTGATCACACCAGATTTGGAACAGGAGAAAATCTTTCTGGAACATCTCAAAAGGCAATAGACAGCAAGTTTGGGACTTCTGCAGAAGTTGTGGATTCTCAGCGGGTTACAAGCTTGTCCCCTGCAATCAATTCTGGAGATGATGTGGGAGCCACAGAAGTAAAGGGTGAATCTAAACTGGTTGGGTCTGTGTCAGTGAATGGTACGCAGATGCAATCAAGTCAGCGTGCTTGGAAACCTGCTCCTGGTTTCAAACCAAAGTCATTGTTGGAAATTCAACAGGAAGAACAAACGAAGGCTCAGGTTGGCATGGCAGTTTCTGAGAACAGCACTTCTGTCAACCATGCTAGTTCATTGACTCCTTGGGCTGGGGTTGTGGCCAGTTCAGACCCAAAAATTTCTAGAGAGACTCAGAGAGAAGCAAGTAATATTGAGATAAATGTAGGAAGAGCAGAAATTTCACCATCTTCAAAGAGCAAGAAAAGCCAGTTGCATGATCTGTTGGCAGAAGAAGTTTTTGCAAAGTCTAATGATAGAGAGATGGAAGCTTCTGACTCCTTATCTAGCCTGACTACTCAACAAGTCACAGCTACCAGTGTGGAATATATAGATGATGGAAACTTCATCGAGGCTAAAGACACTAAAAAGAGTCGCAAAAAGTCTTCTAAAGCGAAGGGTGCTGGAGTTAAGGCAGCAGTGCCTGTACCTTCTACTGAAATGGCTGTTAGTTCAAGTGCTGTCGAGAAAGGGAAAGGCTCTCGTTCTGTGCAGCAGGAGAAGGAAGTATTACCTGCAATTCCATCGGGCCCTTCTTTGGGAGATTTTGTTTTTTGGAAGGGAGAGCCAGCCAACCATTCTCCTTCTCCAGCATGGTCTGCTGAATCCAAGAAGCTTTCGAAGCCCACATCTTTAAGAGACATCCAAAAGGAGCAGGAGAAAAGGGTCACTTCTGTCCAGCCTCAGAATCAAATACCAATTCCTCAAAAACCTCAGCCGACTCAAGCCACCCATGGAAGTGGCTCTTCATGGTCACTTTCTGCATCTTCTCCGTCAAAGGCTGCTTCTCCTCACCAGATCAATTCCCGTGCTTCTTCTCAATCAAAATACAAAGGAGATGATGATCTATTTTGGGGCCCAATTGATCAATCTAAGCAGGAGCCTAAGCAGTACGATTCTTTCTTTGCCTATCTAACTAGCTTTTAGTTTATCAACCATTGCTACTTTAGTTGAAACATCCATTCTTCTTCTTTAGATCTGCACTTGGAAGCATCCTGGTTTTCTGCAGATTGCTTTTTGTAAATTTGGTCTGCTTTATTTTATTTTGCAGTAGGTTTTTAATTGTCTAATTAGTAACTCTTCTTGTTTGGGAGTTCTGCATTTCTTTTTTGTCGCTGTTTTCTTATCCAGCCAAAATTGGCTATATTGCAAGGCTTCTGATTAATTGGTTCCTCTTAAACCAGCTGAAATTAGTAAACAGGACACCTTGTTGTTTCCGTCTGCTTCCCTTTTTGTGCTGTCCTGTTTTTGAGTCCCTTAATTATTCCAGTTATTGCACAGAAGGATAGCTTTTGACTTGTTCTATTTGCCTAAGACATCACTTTCTTTCTTTCATTTTGTAGACATCTTTCGAATAGAAAATAATTAAGCATTTGTAGCAAGAGCTGCTTTCATTGCCAAAAAAATTTCTTTCTTATGGGGACCATTAATGTGAAGATATGGAGCTTAAGCTGAATGGCACAAGGTTTAGTCTGAACAGTGAGATTACAGCTCAGAAGTTCAATGAATGTTGTTGTGAAATCTTTTTAAGTTGCTGAAATAACCTAGATTTCAACTTCGTTTTAGTCCTGTTAAAAGTTCAAATTTGGGAGTTCCATTGTAATTTTCATAGTTTAGTGATTGTTAGTACTTGCTTTTTGAATGTGGCATATTTTGTCAAAATTCAAAGGACTTCAAGACTTTTTTGTCTTTGTTTGTTGTGTTAGCGTCTGTCTATTTGTTTGTTTCTTGACATCATCATTCCATGCTGTCTCTTCAGTCGCTGCCCTCAAAGAGATGAAAGTAAAATTTTGGTATCTTTGTCTAAGCAGGTCAGAATTCCCTCATCTTGCGAGCCAGGGCAGTTGGGGAACCAAAAATACTCCTGTAAAAGCAGCCCCTGTTGCTTCATTAGGGAGACAGAAATCCGTGGGTGGCAGGCCTGCAGAGCATTCTCTTTCATCCTCACCTGCTGCTACTCAGTCATCTGTTAAAGGGAAAAGAGATACAATGAGCAAGCATTCAGGTAAAGTGACTATAGGCTGTCATCTTTACCTTTCAAGAATAGTTGTTGACCCTTTATGTTTTTTGTTGTTTTTCAGAGGCCATGGACTTCAGAGCTTGGTGTGAGAGTGAATGTGTTAGACTTGTTGGGTCTAAAGGTATCATTCTACTTCTTTCTTCTTTCGCCTTGACAATTTTCATCAACTTCTTTTTAAGCAACAGGGTATCAAGCATCTATTGCAGCTCAATAAATATGATTTTTTATGGATTTTACTCTTCCCATTCAAAAGATTACTATCTTACAAGCATACATCTAACAAGTAATATGAGCTTAGTAGCATGACTTCTCTGCCAGATGGCTCAAATTTCTTGTATAGCAGAGAATTTAACTAGTTTTCCCTTTTCCTTCCTCTGTGACCCATGGTTTAACGCAAAATTCTGTTCCCGCATCTGAAATGTTGACTTGACACTTGTTTGTGGTCCATAACTTTCATCTCATGCAATGGCAATTCCGTGTGATAGATTCTGTTCCTGTATCAAGTTTCTTGGAATACTGCTTGAAGCAATCCAGATCAGAGGCTGAAATGCTGCTGATAGAGAATCTTGGATCATTTGATCCTGATCACGAGTTCATTGACAAATTCCTCAACTGCAAAGACATGTTAGGGGCAGATGTTCTTGAAATAGCCTTTCAAAGTCGGAACGATTGGAAGACTGGTGGGATTAGTGCCAACGACATGACTTTTGACAATGCAGGGGTTGGAGATTATGACCGTGAAGATGGATCCTCAAAAGGTGGGGGCAAGAAGAAAGGGAAAAAGGGGAAGAAGGTCAACCCTGCTGCTTTAGGATTTAATGTTGTCAGTAACCGGATCATGATGGGTGAGATTCAGAATGTGGAAGATTAGGAGTTTTGAATGGTAGTTGTAAATACATTTCGACTACACTCTGTAAATGTTTTACATTAGGATTTTGTTTCTCTACATAGATCAGCAGCAGCAGTACTAATTTGATCTGCTCAAGCAATTTTGTGAAAATTCCTGCGGTAGAGTTACTGATAATTTTGTTGGAGAAATCAAAGATTATCATAAACCATGAAGGCAACCTTGACCGGTGCGTTGTTTTTCTCAGTTCCCCTTTTTGGTCTTGCATTCATGTTGTACAGTTTATAAGGCAAATGGAATTTCACCCCCTAGAGAAGTATACCTTGTCAAAGGCGTAGGTGGGAAATTTTAGACTGAAGCTGGTGGCTTCATTTGTTACCTAGTATCTAGGTGGGTTGTGCGAAGCTGGAATTCATTTATTTTTTGGTGGTTCAATTGTTTTAACTTGTTTTGTTACCCTCCTTTTAATCATGGAGGGGTGATGTAGTTAATTCTCTTCTCACTTTGCAATAAGGTAGAGAATTTTCTTGAGCGATGTCTGACTTTGCATTGATAAAATCCTTCTGGGTTTGAGGGCCGTCTTTGCTTCTAGGTCATGGTATTTTGCAAAACTTAAGATCAGGTGGTTTGTGCATCGTGTGAAGCAGTGTTGTTAAAAACCCGTCAACGACTCTAGATGTTAGACCAAAGCAAAATACTTTCACTTAGACATGCATGTCTAAGCATGGCCTTTGCCCGCATTGAGTCTAATTAAATAACAGAATAGATTTTTTTTTGCAATTTATTCTTTCAGTTAAATTTTCTGACCATGAATTTTTTTACTGAAATGTTCTTTATTAAAATGCAAAAAAATAAAAATTCTTAAAGTCACATAATTTGTATGTTTTATTTTTGAAGTTTTTAGATTTTATTTTTAAAAATTTCAATTAGAGGCATTTCGGTAAAAAAAAAATTACTTGAAAGGACGGATTGAACATTTTAAATACTTTCAAGAACAAATGAGATGTAATGAGAAATTTAACAATATACGAGAGATTTTGAGTATTATACAAGGATAAATAAATATATTTACTCTTAAAATACATGTTTTTGTGTTTGGATGAAATTTTTGTTCTTTGTTTTTTTATTCGAACTGTTTTTTTAGTAATTTATGGAATAAAATACATAAAACCATATTTTTATAATTGTATAGGGTTTTGTCCATTTTCTGGTTTTTGAATTGTTTTGATTAAAATCTTATACTTTTTTTTTTTGTTGATTGTCCCTCTATTCTTCATTTTGTTTTGTTTTTATCTTTCTATCATAAAGACAGTAGTTCATAAACTATTGTGATAAATTCACTCCTAAATGTATGACACATATCATATTTGAAATCATAATAGAATGATTCAATCAAAACAATTTAAAGTGCATAAACTCAATCAACACAATTAAAAAAATATAAAGGTCAAATTATTTTTTATTTTTAATTTCCATGTTTTTTTTTAATAAATCCTCATCATAAATGCACAAAATATTTCATATGTGAGGCAGAATCACAATAAAACTTTGAAGCGTATTTTTTTTAATATTATAATAAGTAAAAAATAATATGAAAAAAAAAACGGAACTAGCATGCAATTATTAAAACAAACATATAGTAATGTGTAATATCAATTAACTACATATTAATAGTTAATGGGTATGATACTTCACAAAAAAAAAAAAAAAAAGAAATTCTGAATATTGAACAAATTTAGAGTGAAAAATAGATTTGTTTTTGAAAAAAAACTATTTTTTTAACTTACACATCCAAAGGTCCTAGCAAACCTAATTTATTAGGATTTGAATACGTAACCTTTTGTTGCAAGATAGCACTATCATAGAGTTACAAACTCTTCAGTCTTTTGAAAAAAAACTAAAAACTGCATTACATTTTGTTTTTTAATATAGACAAGTAGCTATTAGTCAGCATTATTGTTATTCTCATTTTGATTTTGACAAATATATTATACTCTATTTTTTAATTACATATTAGATTTATTTTATATGTTTTATTATTTTTAAATTATTATAATAGTTTTATAAAATACTCTTCATAGTTTTATTACGATAAGGTCCTACATAAGACCTGTGTTATAACATTCAATATAAGATCTTAAATTACAATAGCATGAAAACTTAGAAAGAAAAAACAATAATTTGATCTGTGTATTTTTGAATTGTATTGATTGAATCGATATATTTTTTTGAATTGTTTTGAATAAGTTCTTCTATTAGAATTTCAAGTATGACATTTATCATTTATTCAAGAGTGGACATACTAGATCAGCTGCGAACTAACAACATTAAAATGGAGGGATGGAAACAAAATAAAATAAAAAGTAAAAAGACTCAATTAATATAAAGAAAAATACATGATCTCAACCTAAGTAATTTGAAAAGTATATATATATATATATATATATATAAGGGCATTATTACATAAGAAGTTAAAAAAAATATATAGTTTAAAGTATTTCAATAGGGAAGAAGATGCGAATGCTTAGATCTAAGTGACGTAAAACTTAAACTTAATTCTTTATCAAGATGGACTAATTAAATAAATTTTATTTTAAGAACACCGATACAAAGCTAAATAAATAGAGCGTAAAATATAATTTGAAGGAAAGCAAGCTTCCCACTGTTAATGTACGTCATCTATGTCTTATAGATGAAGTAACATGTAATATTATTTCGTGGTTATATAGGTTATAGACTTATAGTACTGAAAAAAAAAAAAAACCCTCAATAATGTAGAGTAATTTTGATTTACCCACGTACTTAAAACCAAAAATATACACAGCTTTATTTTCAGAAGGAAATTTATCCTATCGAGCAGTCCAGCTCTCTAGCATTCTTGATGAGAAAGTTCACTTGGGAAGATAGATGCATGGTGACTAAGGAAAGGAGAGGAGAGGAGTGGGAGCATTTAAATAACAGCTGATCTCATAAGTATTGAAGATGATAGAAACTCCAGTCATTTTTGTCGTCTGCCAAACTTCAGGCAGGTGGAAGAAGTTTCAGCGATCACAAAGAGAAAACATCATTGGCTAGACTTCCTCGCTTTTCGTTGCTTACTTGAGATTCTTTCTCCTTCGACATTCTAACAAAAAAGGAACACGAAACGGTATGAACATCAATCATGCTGTCTAAGATATATATATTAATTGTCTAATGGAGGGACAGATAGAGTATAAGTTCATTATGCAAACATTATATCAAGCTACCAGAACGAAGCAAATATTTTCAAGAAAACACATTATATGGGCTTCAAATCATATTCCAAAATGGTTGAGCTTTGATTGCTAGAGGAATGCCCCAGCCATGAATTAAGCCGAGAATAACAATTTGATGTTTTCTGGTGATTTAGTGGCGTCTGCTACGTTACGTTGGAGTGGCCCAATGTAATATATTCATATATTTTAGATACAACTGGCAATCAAAAGCTCACTTGATTTAGATTTTCGGCAATTATATGAAGATAAACCAGACGTGATCATATGCTTAATTCTTGAATCTTAATTAATTAGGGAAACATAAACAAAAAAACAAAAGAAAAAAGAAGGGTCGGCGAATAACAAAAAAAGATATTTTCGGAAAGCAACGGCCATGGAATCCTCTTTCCAGCTCTGAAAGCAACAGGCAAAAACCATTGACATCAAAGGCAAATTAAGCCCCCCGCAAAAAAAAAAAAAAAAAAAAATCTCCAATAATAATCTGTTCAATTATGCAGCAGTAACAAGGAATTACTAACCGTTGTAGATTGAACAGTAAATTCATCGAGATTGAAGATATAGCTAATAGAAAGTTTGGCAATCTCAGAAACAGCAGCATCTCTAACAGCAGGAACATCACTTTCTAAAGCCTCATAAGCAGCTTGAAAAGCCTGTTCCCAGAACCGAGGCAATCTTGTACCACTAGTGCTATGCGTGTACACTTCCCACATGCGCCTCACCAGCTTCTTCTTCTCCTCCACTTCCTAGTATATATAGTCAGTAATCAACCCCATAAAAACAAATCAAATACTAAATCATATTTCTCTTACTAAATCTTTTTTTTTTTTTCAAAGAAAGAGAAATGAAATTAATGAATAAGATCACATACAAGAATGTCGGCATCATCTTGAGTTTGGAAACCGAGGTTGTCAGGGTGTTGTGAGAGGTCACCAGTGGACCATTTAAGAGTAACAGAGCCAGCGAACATGGACCAGAAAGCAAGGAGGAGGATAGCAGATAAGACCCAGAATTTGTAACGAGTCTTCCCAAGAAGACTAGACTCCGAGCTTTCTCTCTTTAGTACTGTGGTGGCGGTGGTGACTGTTGAAGGTATTGTTATGACTGTCGGTGCATCATCTTCTTCCATTTTTTTATTTTTTATTTCGCTGTAGTTCAGCTCCTCAGCACTGTTTTGCCTCAGACGGAGATGATAAAGTGGAGAGAATTATTTTGGTGATGTTCAGGGTAATATAGTTGGTGGCCTATCATAAATGGCGTAAGATATGAGAGGGAATTTGGCCTGGCTTTCAGCAACTACCCCCACCAAGTGGATCCCACTCAAGTCCGTGTTTTTCTTTTTGGTGTTGAATTTGGACTACATTTCGATGGTGAAATTTTATAAAAACGAGAAATAACCGACATATGTAATAGTTTTTTTATAAATTTTTTTTTTGAAAAAATAGATAAAAAAATATGAGAAAATAAAAAATAATTTGAGTAGATGTGTAAATTTTTTTTATCGTTTTGATCCATTTCTTGTGCATTATAAAATTAAATTTCTCTGTTTTGATCCGAAGATGAAATTTTATGTTACTCAAACTCAAATAGTTAGTTATTAGTGTAAATTATTTATATATAAAAAATAGATATAAAGAAAAGACAGAAAATTGAAAGAAAAAAAATTGATTTCAAGTGAATTGTTTTTATTGTTTTAGTGGTTGTGAATGTATCTTTTTTTTTTTTTTATCTTTTTAATTTTCATTTTCTAGTCTCTTAAATGATTAAATAATTAATTTTTAAAATAAAAAATAATTTAATTTATTTTGCAGAGACTGGAGAGTTGTTTGTCAAAGCATGGATTGGATCCCTTGGACTAGAAAGGAGAATTTAGGCCGTGTCCACGTCAGTCGCCAAGAATTATAACTTTCGAGAGAAAAAAATCAGTGTTAAAAGAGTAATTTCCGATGTTTATTTTATTGATTTATTCCGAAGAGGAGAGAGATGCATAAAAATAAAATAGAAAATAACATCCGTATGCATAAGAAAATAACAACACTATTTTCATCTGCTTCTTTCCAAATTAATATGAATTGAAATATAAAATTATTCATATACTACTACACTATAAAAATACAATAAAAACCCTAGAACCAGTATGTACTTACTTAAACAGTATGTACTTTAAAAAAGGCTCATTCGATATGTACACATACATAGCCAGAATGACCATTATAAATATCCATGCTGGAACATCAACCTTCATCATTTTGAGCAAATTACAGTCCTGGAACATCAACCTTCTACAATCGACATTTCACAACAGACTAAACTTCTTGCATAATATCCATGCTGCCAATCAAACAGATAAAAACCACAGCCCAAAACCTTCAAAGGATTACACCAGAGATCTGTTACTAATTGATAATGGAGTCAAAATTGAAAAACAATCATTTTGAGCACAAGTGAATAGGCTCGGCTCAGAAGGTTGCATATCAAATCATAGACAATTTTCATAAGTCCAGACATATTTAAGCAACTTCATCATTGCAGAAAAATCCAAAATAGTTTAAAATCTCTACAACAAGGACAAAAAGGAAATTCACAAGGAAATAATGGCAAAGCACCTCAGAGGTAATTTTGGCAGACAATCAACACAGCATCAGATTCTGACCGCCCGTCTGCTTTTCTCATCATTGATGAGCGTTTAATCATAAAAAAATAAAAAAACGAAATAAAGATTTACAAAGGCATCAGATAATAAGCGGAGTTTTATGTCCACATTTAATTCAGTGTGTAGGATAAGAATTTTTTTCCATCATTTGCCTTAATAACTGATTCCCCCAAAAACCCAATCCACAAACTTCGCAAAAAAAAAAAAAAAAAGGAGAAATAAAAGAATTTAATGGCATCAGATAATAAGCGGAGTTTGTGTCAACACGAGAATTCATTCAGTGTGTAGGATAAGAATATTATTCATCAATTGCCAGTGTTTTTTGTGTTTACGAAAAAAGAAAGAAAGCGAAAAAATCAAATAAATTGATTAGAATATAGGTAGGTCCATTTGACACCAAGGCAAGATAGCAATATGCAATGGGCTGGTAAGCCAACCTTGTTAGCTCTTTGCACCTGTTTTATCTTCTCTAGCTTTCAATTTTTGCTACCAGAAAAGTGGGTAAACAGATGCAGCAAATTCTAATCTGTCTTGCACAACCGAATACTTCAAACGAGAAGATTAAAAACAAAAACGACTAGAAAGGAAAACCAAGAACAAAATAACAAAAAAAAACAAAGGAACGAACCGCGGAGTGGAAACGGCGAGGGATGTTGAGGTTGCAGCTGCCTTTAAATAGGGGTTTAAATGAATTAGGGTTTTCTACAAGAAAGCCTTTCCTTTCTTATCTTTCCTTTTACTGGACTGCGGAAGCAGAGGCTTGAACCCATCATTTAAATAAGTAGTTTTTGTGGGTGTGAGATCAAGCCCAAATCTATAAATCTGAAGTATGTTTAAAGCCGGCCCAATGTGTAAAAAAATATTGGAATCCCCTTTGCTATCTCTCTCTTTTGAAAAAACAAAAAAAGAAAAAAGAAAAAGATTATTAAAATGGTTTTTAAAAGTGGTGGCAATGATCACCGATTTTTAATTTTTTGAAAAAGTAAAAACCAAACAAACAAGTTTTTACGGTTTTGTGTTTCCGAGTTAGGCCCAATCTCCTCTTTTATTGTGAACTGAAGTAAGCCCAGATCCGAATCAAGAGATCCGTTTGCCATACCATTAGAGTCCAATTACAAGTTTAAAACGGAGTTTTATAGTTTAACAAAACTAATTAATTAATCTTCATAGTTTTTTAAAACTATATATTCAATCTTCATATTTTCAATTTTTTTATAATATAGTCCTTTTTGTCAATGTCATGATGGTTGTCAATTCATTTTGTTTTTCTTTCTTGAAAAATAAAATAAAGAAAAGAGAATCAGGTAAAATGGGAAAATTTGACTACCAACAGAATATATTTTTGGAATAAAAAACTAATAAATTAAGAATGCTCAACACCAGTCAAGGGAGGGATTATTTATTGTTTCTGACACTACAAGGAGTAATTAATTAGTTTTAATGAGCTACAAGGACTAAGTCATAATTAATTTCATACTCTTATTAGATTATGTTTTTTTTATTTTAATTAAAGACCCATCGAATTAAGGTCTAGCCATGCTGTTTTTTTTCCCTGACCCTGAATAATAATTGGCTTTGCATTTTGTCATAAATAAATTTTCTAGCTTTGCAAAATGAATTAAATACTCATTCTTGTTTCAAAAATAAATTAATTAATCTTATAACTATTGTTGATCATGGTTAATTTAATATTATCATTTCTCATCAATCTTTCTATATATTTTACTCATTTTTTATTTCTTAAAAAAATAAATTGAAAAGGAATAAAAATGATTATATTAAAATAGATTTTAAAATAGAGGGACTAATTAATTATTTATTAAAACTAAAGGGGCAATTTATTCTTTTTTGAAAAATAGAGAGACTAATTTATAATCAGGCTGATAGCAGTTGACCAGATCCTCACCATGTGAAAGAAAAAAGAATGTGTATCATGTAGACTATGTATGCATTGCGCATAGCTAATCATTGTAATAGCAGTTTACCCTCATACGTGTATGTATGTTTGTGTGTTTTGGTGGTTGAAAATGAGGGATTGCACATTATTTTTAGAAGAATTCATCCTTCGTGTAGGCGTAAACAAAAATATAGTTTTCGAAGACAGAACAGAGCTTTCTTTCTGGTTTTCAACATTCATGTCCTCTTTATAAGAAAATCTTCAATTTCCATTTCATCTATATGTACAGGGAATGTCCTTCAGATTACATCTTTTTCCCCTAACTCAAAGAAGTTTCAATCTTTAACTCACTTTTCGGTTCCCCTAACCACCCCCCACACAAAAAAGAAAAAAAAAAGAAAGTAATTTGGTCACTGCTCTCCACCTTCTTGTTCTCTCTTTAGATCAGCAGGAGGTAAAAAGCAATCCATTGACAACCCACATATATTAAAATCAACTTCGTCAATCATCCATGTTTCCTCTATTTTCCTCTTATGATTATGTGATGCTCCATATCTGTAAAGTGTTGCAGTGGTCTTTCCACTATGTGCTACATTGATGCCTTCAATGTATCTATAATCTCCAACCACTGACTCTATGCTTGTCTCCCAAAACACACTGTCGTTTCCTTTAATCGGTTTCATCTTCACTAATTTCGTGTCTTCGAATTTGACAAGTAGTCCTGTTCTTTGGCTGAAGTAGCCCCATATTTTATGGTGTACGATTTCAGTATTGGAAGAACTTTGAGCTTTAAGGGTGGTTGAGTCGGTCTCGAGCTTGAGTACAAAGCAGTCTTCATCGTTCACTTTCTTCTCTGCAATGCATACTGCTTCTGAGAACAAGTTGGCAGTGCACCTTGGATCCAATCCCTATTGAGACCACAAAGAAAATCATCTTCAATGCACTTTGACATTTTGAAAGATCATACACAAGTGCAGCCAGAAAGCTATGGGATCAACAGTCTTAGATTTCTTTCATTAGAAAGTTCAAAAGTTATACCTGGAAGAACCGTCGCAAGGGTCTTGGAGGACCTCTATTAGCATGAGAAGCCTGAGAAGAGGATTGGTTCCAAGCAACCTTGCCATCACTGCCTGCACTGACCTTGTAACCAGAAACAACTAGTTCCAGGTACCATAAATCAGGGTTTTTTTGCCATAGCACAAACCCACCAACCTCGGACTTGCCTCCAGCTTGCACACTGTCATCACCTTGTTGCATTTCTGATGCAGCCATCTTTACCTGCCCTACTGCATACATGCTCTTCACTGAATTCAGTGCCAATGGTCCTCCAATTGCTGCTATATATTGTTGTACTATATATTTCGCGGTAGAGGCTTCCTGTTCATGAAATAGGGTACTGTTATTATCAATCGATTATTAATCAGGACTCACATTTCCAGGTCCAGTTGAAGGAATTGAGCTACTCTCATCAGCCTAACTAATCAATGAAAAGTAGAAGGAAAAATTAATGTTCTGATTTAAGCATGGAGTATACAATAAAAAATGTTGATGGTTTTTCCCTTTTGATTGTTTCCTCTCTCTTCCATGTCAAATGTGAAATGCAAAGTAAGCAAATATCCTTAGAGCCATAGCTTTTTAGTACCGGTGAATTAATAGCAAGCCGAAAATTCACAGTATATAATTCTCAAATTTATCCACCAAATTTCCAACAGATTAATTAATCATTTTGCAGGGAAGGTTATCAAAATAACAAAACAAGCACACCATTATAGCACAGCAAGATTTTCATATAATCTCTCAAGTAATATGAGGTATATTTAGTGCAGCAACGAACTCTTTTTTTTTTTTTTTTTTTGCATCTGTCATATCCCTAAACTATGTACCTTCCATTTCCATGTTCAGATTAAACCAAAACACAATATTTAAGAGGAAAATGAAAGAGTCATACATACAATGGAACAGTTTTTGAGAGGACGAGTGAGAGGCATATCAGGGTCGGCCTGAAAAGGGATAAGAGGAGAGCCAACAAGCTTAAGCAATGCTATAAATTCATTATTTGATTTAGATTGGAGATGGGTTGATTTATCAGGAGCAGCTTGATCTTTCATCAATGCACGCATGTTTTGCCAACGAGAAGCCGAATTGTTGCCCATTTTTGTGAACATCTCTTCAGGTATGGGGACCTCCAAGACGGTGTCGAGTGCATCTTCCCTATCGTAATTAGGACACAACTTCCTCATAGAAATCCAAGATTGAATCCAAAAGACCAACCAACAAAATAGAGAAAGAGGAAATGAAATCTAAATTTTTGATTGAAGAGATGAAAGGCTGCGTCTTTTCTTGTCTAAGGTGTTCCTTGCGCGTAGCTGTCGTGTGTGCACGATTTCAGGGGCTCGTTTGAGTTTGTAAAATTTGCGGAACAGACGGCACCTTGCCATAGGATTAGTCTCAAGATTCCTCCATCTTTTTACATGTCACCAATTGCAGCATGACATATATGGATTATTATATATATATATATAAAAAAGAGGTGTGAGAGAGAGAGAGAGAGTAGAATTAGCATGACCGTAATCTCTTCCCTAAGCCTATGGCAATCACATTTAATGCTTCATAATGTAATCTTTTGACCAACACCAAAATCCTCCTGCTAACTTGATCTCTTTCGACCTGTATCTTTGGGTTGACTCAGTTTTGGCTTTGGGCTCATGGCTTTGACTACGAAGGACTACCAATCATAAACCCCACCTTCAACATGGATCCGTAAAACATACGCTAAGTATAACCTAATATGAAAATATGACTTGATTAATAATTGTGTATCCAGTGACTTTTTTTTTTAAATGAAACAAATTCAAATTTCAATCATTCAAATTTATTTGATTATTATGTAATGAAAAAAAGAAAAAGGCAAAAGCTAATCAGTTAAAGATCCATGGCACTTGGAATGAATTAACAAAAAAAAAAAAATTTGATCCGTGAAGAAAGCCCATAAACTCCATCTAGATTATCAGAGAGCTGAAAGGGCCATATACTCCATCTAGATCATCTGAGTTGAAAGGCAGAATGTGCAGATAGGTTAATCATCACAAAGATCACCACTACAAAGATTACATTTTCAGTAAACGGAACAGACGAGGCAAAAATCACCCAGAACTCGGACACTGCAATTTTCAAGTAATCACCACCTCAAAAGGTGAAAGTATCTGAACAAGCAATGAAGGTTTTATTGTTCATGTGTTACACTATCAATTATAAAACTGAAAAATTTAATACAATTTCTTGAAGTGCCAAGTTATGTCCACTAGGAATGTCCCTGCATATCAAGTGTCTCGTCCAGACGTTTTAGTCTCTCCAATCCTTCACTAATGAGAAAACGAATCCTTTGCTTGTCGTTGCAATTCCGGCTATTCTCCATCTCTTGTCTAATTGTTTGTTTCAAGTCAGCTGTAAAATAAATTACATTTTAAACAATCCTATCAGACTTGCAGCCAAAAACAAACATTGGAATAGAACCTCTGATGTTCTATACACCAGTTATGGTATCCATTTCTGAGGCACATTAAAGACTATATTTCCTCTATACAACCTTGGGCAAATTTTAGTTATACGAAATAACTTACAGTACAATATAATAGAAAAAATTTGGAGGCCACCTAAATTCAATGGCTAACCAAGCCAGACAATATATGAAAACTTAGAGAAAGTCTCTAAGGTCCAGAAAGTAACTGGTATTACCTAATTAACAAGCCAGAAACAGTGGGAACATACTCAAAAAGCAAAGAGGTCACGATTCAAATCCTCCATCTGGATGGAGTATTTAAGCTTAAACAATACCCCATTGCAAGAGGAGGTCGGAGTAGACCCACGACTTTGCAGTGGTGGCTAATTCCATCCATGTTTGCAAGAGGAAGTCAGTAGATCCACAACTTTGTAATTCAGTCCATGCCCATGTCGTGGTAATACGACTCTCTTCTCCCACTAACTATTAGTGGATTCAAATCCTCTCTCAGGAGTATTTGAGCTTACATAGTTTGATCTTTGAGATATCTAGATGGAAAATATGTATGTAAATAAAACAAAGCCGAAAGGAGAATGATGAGGAACCAATTAATCAATTCATTATTAATAAAACCAATAATTAATCACTTCATAGCTTCAAATTATAACGTTTCCGCAGTCTGTAAAATTTTAACCAAGGCAGCTTCCCTTAGTTGCTGATATAATAAACATTAATCATTCACAAAATAGAAACTTCACCTCTGGCGCCATCAGGTGCTCTCCTTGTAGTCCTTAGTGCTTGCCTATATAGCTTCAGCACCCGAGCTCGGAGAATGAAGTCCTGCAAATCAAAGGAGAGAGCCATAGCTTGATTCTCTTCCTAGAGTAAACACGCTTCCATATCAGGTAAGCAAGGAGGATTTGGTTCTAATTTATCACTAATGGGCAGCAAACCAAAAATAAATTTGTCAAAAAATTAGAGACACAGAAAGATCGAGAGAAAGTGATGTCTCACCAAAAACACAGAGGGAGGAGTCGCCGGAGCTGCCACAGATGTCAAGTGGATCCGTCGATTAATCAATGGAGCCGAATAGGTAGAGGCTCGAGAATTTGCCTAACCCTAAAAGACAACTTGTCGTTTGCTTTGCTTTGCACCATCAATTTCTCCTTTAGTTCCCCAAAACGAGCAACTTGTCGTTGTGTTCAAAACCAAAAAGAAAAAGAAAAAGAAAAAGAAAAAGAAAAAACCTCCAAAATACTGTAAAATGTTATGAAATAATAAATATTTATTTTATATTCTTATTATTAATTATTTTTAATTTAATTTAATTTATTATTAAATATAAAAAATTAAAAAAATATGTAATTAATTCAATTATTTATGCAACTTTAATGATTCATAGTCTCTTTTAATTCTTTTTTTAATTTTCAAGCTTATAAATAGGCTTGATTGCTTATTATTCAATGTAAAAGTATTTTGTAAAGATTAAGAGAATTGTTTAGAGTTGTTATCTTTTATATTCTCTTTATTTCATAATGAAATCATTTTTCTATTATTATCATTTCTTTTATAGCATGTTAGCTAATAATATGATTGATTGTGCAAAGCATGGTGATCCTGCAAGAGTTTACTTGCCGGAGATTTGGTCTCTTCCTTTCTACTTGTGATTTTTTTTTGGTTTACTGTAGTCTGAAATTGCAACAAGCTTAGAAGTCGAATCCTATTGATTTTATGGCTAGCTCTGTTAGATTCATTAATAACAATCGATGTGGTCCGGGGTTTGAGGTGCTTGTTAGCTAATGATATGGACGACAAATAAATCATAGCTGAATAAATACCATGTTGAAGAGCATAGATTTTCTATGGACAAACCTAAAAAAAAAAAAAAATCCCTAATCTTCAATCTATTTTTTTTTTTCATTTTCATTTAGTTCTTGCATACAAATGGATTCTCAATCATATAATTTTGTTAGTTTTAGATAACTTATACGCAGTGACCATGTAAAGAAATATAAAGTTTTTGTATGAAAAAAGAGAAATTAGGTAAATTTTACATGATAATTTAATATTTTTATTAGATAAAACTGATTGAAGGATTTAATTAAAAATCTATTATTACATTGGAGACTTAATCAAAATAAAAAATACGTTGGGGATTTAGTTGAGATTTCCTTATAGGTTGGGGACTTTTTAGAGGATTAAATTAAGGGGATGTTCAGTATGATTTAGACAAATTGATTTAAATTGTTTTTTAATTTTGACTTAAGTATGTTTGGATATGAATAACTTTTACTCAAAAGTTTGTCACAAAATTGAGTAAAAATTTTGTTTTAATGAAAAGTTAAAATAATTAACTTTTAATTTATAGATTCTAAGTTATAACACATTTATTCTTCAAAAAAAAATTATTTTGAGTCATGTTTACCAAACAAATTTATAACGTGAATAATTTTAACTCATTTTTATCATAAGTTATTTATGAAAAAAAAAACAATTTTCAAAATTATGACTCAAAGTCAAAAGTTAATTTTCATAAATCATGGCAAACATATCCTCATATAATTTTGTTTTTGTTCAAAAAAATTAACTATATTATCCTAAAATTTACTTAATTTGCATATTTCAAAAACACAAATAGAAAATTATTATAAAAAAGAAGGGAAATAGAGGAAATAATAACAAATAAATAATTTTGTTTTTTTTTTTCAATTTTCGAAATTGAAAATATTTGTTAAGTGTGTGTTCGGCTACTAGTCGAAAATTAAGTGCAAATTGGACATAAGCTAAATGAAAAGATTGTATGAAAGAAATATCAATAATAAAAACACCATATTATTAGTTTTAAAAAGTAAATGAATAATGTGATCAATCCCGCGAGCAAACAAGCTGAGGATAACTTTACTAATTTTTATTTTTTTATTGTTGAGATCATGGACAACTAGCGCTTCCGCCAGGAGCCCCAAAATATAAGTAATTGTCCCAATCACCCAATTTGCCTGTTTGGATATCATAGCATTTGGGTTGGGAAACAAAAGTGCAATATTTGTAGGTTCCTGCAGCTTCTTGGATCCATCAACAACTTGAATATTCCTGAAGTAACCAGCTTTTCCAAATCCCTCTGGAGGAAAATGTCCACTTCCCATTTGAGTTGTCGTGTGCTTCCCTCCTACTTTTGAGTTTAAAATCTCACCTCCCCATTCAATATTCGTAGCACTGTCATTCAAGTGCAAGAAGAGAGAGCCTGGCCAATATCCCACGACTTCTTGTCCAAATTGAAGCCACCAGTTCCCGCTTCTTGGATCCTATAAACAACATTAATCAATGCACATAGATATCTAACCGCAAACAAACATAAGGGAGGTCTAGAATAATGAGACTTGCAAAATATAGAGATCAATTAAATTTGGTTACAAAACATTTATTAATATTGAAGAACGGTTTTCTTTGTATGTAAACTTTTTATATTCTTCGAATTGTTTTGATTAAAATCTTATATTATTCTTTGTATTGATCAAGACTCGTTATTTTTCATATTGTATTGTTTAAAATATCTTTTTATAACATCTTTAATTGTTAATCGACGTGATGCATTTATTTCTAAATACATGACAAGTGTTATATGTAAGATTTTAATTTAAAAAAATCAACATGTAAGGATCTGATTTCATAAAATTTTAAAAGTAAGAAGAAAAATATTTTTATCAAGATTTTGAGTGCCAAAAATATTAAAAATAAAGGACCAAATTGTGAAATAAAATTGATTTTAAGGACTAAATAACTTTTTAAAATTTACAAGGACTAAAATGAAATTTTATGACAAAGTATTTTTAGCATGTATTAAATAGTTAATAAATAAGTAGGTATTAAAAAGCAAGAAATTATGAATATTAGATCAATTCAAAATAAACAATGGGATTGATCTCTCGAAAAAAAAACTTAAGATCGTATTGCATTTTCTTCTTTGATATAGATAACTAGTTACTAATCGGCATTATTGTTATTTTCATTGTAATTTTGACCAACATATTTGTGCACTTCCTCTTTTATTTTTACATTAATTTTGTGTGTGTGTGTGTGTGTGTTTATAAGATTCCTCTTTAGAATTTTATTGTGAAGGGGATCTCACATATAGTATCTTCTGCGACATTGAAGATAAGGTCTTGAAAATACAATTACATAATAGTAATAATAATTTTGATCCTTGCAATTTTTAAATTGTTTTGATTGAAATCTTATACTTTTTTATTTTTTTCATTGAGTTTTTTTATTGAGATCTCACACATAAAACATGTCATGTATTCGGAAATAAATATGATCATAATGTGTGTGTGTGTATGTCTATATATATATATATATATATCATTAGTTTTGTTAGAAAGTAACTATGTATTTGCACATATAACATCAATTATTTATTATTTATTCTTTTTCATGTTCTAAAATCAATACTTTTTAAATAAAATAATTGAAATAATGTTTTATTAGAACCTTTCAATTATTCAAATATAGCTTTTTTATGCTAATATTATTTATTTTTTTGCTAATAAATATATATAAATCAAAGGATTCCACTCAATAAATAGATTTGATTTACTTTAATTACAAAAATAAGACTTTTACCCACTATGTCCCATATGAATCGTTGACCGTCCATATGTAACGGTTATCTAACCGTAGTATAGTGTGAATATCCAACTAGTACTTCTTTAATAGAAGATGAGCGTTGGTCTTTAAGTTAAAATTATGTGGAAAATACAATTTGGATTGCCAATAGATGCTTAAAACTATTCTTCATACCGGGGTTTTAATCTATAGAAAGGTCTATCACAAGTTTGGAGTGAGGTTTGTCTTGGAATTAGATGGTCTATTGGGGATGGTCGTGTCCGATTTTGGGTTGATTCTTGGGGTACCCATTTTAGGACCTTTATGTGATCATACGTTTCATCCTATTCCGGAGGGGATATTGAATGCTCATGTTAAGGAGTATATTACTCGCTTTTAGTCTATGGTGGTGGGATAAGTTCAATAGTTTGCTTCCTACTTTTGTTTGTTTATGGATTGCATTTATTCTACTTCCTCGAGTGAATGTTTGCATAGACAAATCTTGTTGGAGTCTTTCAAGCAATATTGCTTTTTCTACCAAATATGTATATAAGTTCACAACATATGCTTCTACATGCATTATAAAGGATGGTTGGGATTTGGTTTGGTAATGAAAGGATTCTCAAAGAATTAGATTGTTCTTGTGGCTAGCCACTCGGGGCAAATTAATCACTAATGAATAGAGAGTTCGTAGAGGTATTTCGTCGAATTTCTCATGTTATCGCTTGTGGAGTTCATTCTCGATATGTCTTTTGTATTCTTAAAGATTGTAGAAATGCTAAATCAATTTGAGAAATGTGTAGAGCCTCTCATATGGTTAATAATTTTTTTGAAATCAACTTTATAAATTGGTTACGGACTAATCTTCCAATTGATCGAACCATGTGACAAATTTAGTTTCATGCAATATCTAGTTTGGTTCTTGTTGTTGGCTTTTGTGGTCGTCATTCAATAAATGGCTATTTGAAGATGATTTTTTTGCCTCCTAGTAACTCGGTTGATGCAATATTTTCTTTGACTTCTCAAATTACTCCTAGCGTTAAGATGACCTCCACTTTTGTGAATCCAAATTGCACGAAACATGTTCTTATTAATTGGCAAAAACCACCTTAAGGATAAGTTAAACTAAACACGGATGGAGCCTTATGTAGTTCTACATGATGATTCCGACATTTGACTTCAAGGTTTCTCTCATCACATTGGAGTTTGTTCGCTTTTGTGAGCTAAACTTTGAGGAATCCTTATTGGTTTGGAAATAGCTTGGTCCGTTGTTTATCGACAAGAAACTAATTCTAAATTAGTTATTCAATTGTTGTCTTCTCACGTTGATAATCGTAATGGTTATAGTCAATTAGTTTCATCCATATGTGATCTCATTCAAAGATAATGGAAAGTGCATATCTCTCATACTTATAGAGATGTCAATCCTATCAGATTAGCTTGTATCTCATGTCTATTGCCTTTTGTTAGAAATTTCTTATTTTTTAGTTGCTCTTGTAAGTTGTATTAGGATATTTGTGAAGTTGTGACTCTAGGCTTTGTAATCACAACTAAGTCATCCTCTTTCGTGAATAAAATAATAAATATATAAATAAATAAGGCTGCTAATTACTGTATATACCTTCCAAACAAGCATGATAATATCCCACTGGGGGCCACCATAGGCAGACATAGTAGCGATGTATGCACCCATCGTTATTTTTTTGTTGGTTTGAACAAAGCTAGCGCACAGCAGATTGTAGCAACCCGTGTTTATATATGCATCGCTCTGTTCAGAAATAATATTAATTGAAAACTTGACCAACCCATAAGATCATAAGATACCTATTTTTATTTAGTGAAGTGACGAGGAAACAAGAAATTAAGATGAGGCAAATTGCTTACAGTCCAAAATGTGAAGAATGTTGTTCTGTTATCTCCATATACCTGTTTAATTAATTTTACATATTTAAAGCAAGAAAGGAAAAGATATAAAAATACACAAATGAAATTTTTTTGATAATTGTAAAATGAAATAAAATAATTAAATAGGAATACCATCCAACCAGCTTCAATGCTATTAAGATCTTGACCAAAAATACCACGTAGGATCCAGAATTGAGCCACGCTAAATATCCTTTAGGCTCTTCAACTCTAGGATGCCAAACATTTATCCTTGCCTTAGCTCCAAAATACTTTCCTTCCGTATAAGCTACTGCATACTAAACACTCGAAAGACAAAAACAAACATACATCCATAACCTGTCTTAAAAAAAAAAAAGGCATGAAGAAAAGTTGAAATAATTAATAGTGGGTTAATTTCAGATTATTCCTTAGGTTTGAGGTGAGTCCAATTGTTTTTTTCCCCTTGCAGAAAGAGAGGTTTTAATCATAGATTGAATTACAGATTAATGGTTGCATAGATCTTTTTATTCCTTTCTTGTGTAAATTGTATCTGTTTATTTTTATTTTTTTTCGTTTTAAATTTGTCCTTTTACATTTGATTTATGTTTTAATCTCGTCACTTCATTAACTTTTTGACGTGTTAATTAATTTACGGGTTAGTTAAGTGCTGATAATAGATGAAGTGCCTCATGTTCACTGTCTGCACTAATGACCTGGTCAGGCTGTGCAGACCTGAACTGAGGATTGGCTGGGGGCTACTTCTCCTTGCCAAACCTTTCAACGGAACTTGCCCTTAATATATCATTTCTTTTAGTTCTCCTGATGGGAATACTTCCTTCTGGGCACCATCCATTCAAGTGCCATAACTGGCTAAAAAGAGGATTTGATTCTTCCATCACATTGTTCTCGCCTTCTGGATGGAAACTTGGTCTCATCTGCATACAATGCAACAGCACAAAACCATGCTCATTAATGAAATATAAAACAAGAAAGGTATATATAATTTGAGTATATAGTAATGGACCTGAATTGTGTGGTTCTTGAGCAAGGGATGATCGAAAGCCGATTGGTCGGCAATATTGACATAGTTGATTATATCTCCATCCGGCCTCTGTTATAGACACGGTGATAATCAATAACATACAGTGAGCAAATCGAAGATAAAAAATTCAGAACAGAAAAAGCACTTTTGAAGAGTACTAATTGATTGAAGTTGTATAAACTGTTTTAAAAGTTTAGCTAGACGTATTTAGATTCAACAATTTTTCGTGTCCTAGAAAGCTAGCTGTTGTTCAAAATTTTAAAAAACTAAGAACCAAAAAAAAAAAATGGCAATAACATCAAGTGGACCTTAATGGTTTTAACATGAGGCTTGTTCAAGCGCTTCAAGAGGTGGCGAACATACCTGCTATTGCTCTTAGCAGATGTCAAAATGGATACTGTTAATACCAACAAGCTAGATATGGATCTTTCTCCTAATCAGTAACTCCGTTGCCATGACCAAATATTCCTAAGCTTAAATGCACCACTGATTACCAAACCCACCAAATAAACAAGCTGGTACCAACTTATATAAAGTTTGGGGGTGGAGGTGGAGGTGGGTTGCTAGCATATACGTATTATCTATTGATGATTTAGTGCACGAGACACTTAATTTGCCTGCTTGGCCTACGCCCATCTTCCTATGATAAAAAATCACAGAATAATGGAAAGAAATATATATATATATATATATATATATATATATATGTTTCATGATAATAGTATTAGATTTAAGGACTGACAATTTATCACTACAAAAGATTAAGCCTTTAGCAACAGACAAATTGTTGTTATATTGAAGTACGTTCATTGTTAATGTGAAGTAAATAGTCGGTTGTAATTGTAAAACCTATCGCAACACCATTGGTAGGTTGTTTTACTTTCGTTGCTATATAGAGACGAAAATCACTTTTTGAATTTGGTTGCTAAATGTGGTTGGTAAATCATAGCTAGGTGTCGCTAATATTTCGACAGAGATTTCTGCTATCCGAAAGTAATTTACCAATGGAATCTATCATCATCGGTCGGTCATATACAAACATATTTTAGATAAGGTTGATGAACTTAATAGCAAATTCAAAATTTTTTTCTCTTAAAAGATTTTCCTAGCACACATCAAATAGCAAATTTTTACAAAAATGTTAGTTTATTGATCGCATATGCAATTATATTGGTAAAAATTATGTAAAAAAACCATCTTTTATAATTTAAAAGTTATTTTTAAATTATTCTAAATATCATGAGATACAAACCAATTTGCAATTCTAGAAAAGAAAATAAAATTAATGGTGGCTTGCTTAGTCATGATTGTTAGACAAGTAATATAAGTTATATATTGAGGCATCATCTAAAAGCTTAAACTATTGAGTGATGCTCTAAAATATGATCTATATTATTCTCTAACACAGATTCCTTAAGATTCAAGTCTTTTGGGATTGAAACTTACACAAGCTTACACTATCTTGTATTATTATATTTTTAATTACAATAGAGAATGACGATGGTTAGATTCGAACTTGCGACCATTTGGTTATTAAGGTTCTAATACCATATCAAAAAGTTATCTCAATCCAAAAGTGAAACTATTAAGTAAGACACCAAGATATGATTTATATTATTTTCTAACACACCGTCTCAAGTAAAAATCATTTGGACTTGAAACTTGTATAAGCTCACCATTACTTTGTGCTTAATTATTTAATTTTAATTAGAAAAGACAAGTGGAGGGGGTATTAGAGAACCCATCCATATTGAATAAATAAATAAATAATTTATTACTAATATCTAAGTTGAGAATGGACCGGCCATCATAAGGCTTAAATCTTTTGAATATAATTCAATTTTAACTATTGAATTTAATGATGATAAATTTTCAATAGTTATGGGGTACATCAAATCATGTGATTTTCATTATATCATATTCCTCTAGCTTGCAATAGCTACTTTTGTTTGTACTTATCAAAATGTGCATGTTATATATATATATATATATAACTTATGTTATTGGGTGTCTACGGATAAGAAGTTGTTGCCTATAAATTTTAAAGGTATGAATATTGAATAAGAAAGAGTTTGAATTTAATAAGAAAAAATTCACCAAGTTTTATGGCTATTATTTTGAAAAATTATGGAAATATATTTATGATAAAGAATAATTAGTTATTTTATTTTGGAAAACATATATTTAGATGGAAACATAGCCTTAGAGGTAGAAAAATAATTGGAGAAAAAGAAAGAATACAAGTATCAAAGATGACATATTTCTTTCCTTATTTAATATTTTCTTTTTATTCCTTTTATTTAGGTTAATAATTAAGAAAACATGATGGAGTATTTTTTTTCAAATTAGGACACTTTAAATATTTTTTACCAAAACAAAGTAGTTTTGAACTTATTTCCTAAACAAGGGTATTTTATACCATGTAGGACTTATTTATCCATTTCATTTCTTTCTTAATTAACCAATATTTTTTGTTAAAAAAATATATAGCAAAAAATTAATAAAAATAAGTGTATAAATTGATAGAATTGGAAGTAAACTTTTAAAGCCAATACAATATTTTCTAAACCAAGATTTATATCCCACCATTAACACTTAAAATTCAAAACTCCAAATTAAAGGCAATACTATATTTTCATTAACACTTAAGCTTATGACCATTGGATTTGGGAGTTTTTTTTTTTTTTTTCAAACCATGGAACTTTTAAATTTTTATTCTCAAAATAAGATGCTTTTAAACTTATTTTTCAATATAACTAATTTATGTCATGTAATACATTATTTTCATGTCATTTTATTTTTACATAGTTAATAAAAATTTAAGAAAATTTTCTTTTTATTTAATTAAATAAAATAAATATGGATTCCATTCAAGCAGTTATACACACATTTGCACATGCACTAAAATCCATCTTGAACAACCATTTTTCTTCATACTTCATAATAAGAATATTAGATATAAGAAAGTTTGACTCGTCCCTCTATTTTTTTTTTTTTTTTTTTTTTTTTTTTTGTATTTTGAGGACTTTTATTGAATTTAAATTGTCTTGCAACTCTAAGAAATGAACATGAAATGAAATAGAAAAATTTCAAATCGAGTATAAACATAAAAAAAAAAAGGAATAGATCGGACAAACAATTAATCACTACAAAAAATTAACCTTTTAGCAACGGACAAGTTGTCGATATAATGAAGTACTTCCATCACTAATTTGATATAAATAGTCAGTTTTTAATTGTAACATCTATAACAACACCGTTGGAAGGTTGTTTTACTTCCATCGCTATATAAAGACGAAAATCCCTCCTTCAATTTGGTCGATAAATGTGGTCGGTAAACTATACACTATAAAAAAAAACAACGAAATAGCAATGAAAAAATAGATCGCTATCACAACAAATTATATCACTAAAACGCCCGAACAATGGATTTGCTATCGAAAAAAATCATTGCTAAAACGCTCGTTGCCGGCCTCTATGATATAATGTATAGTGTCCATTGCTAACTTAGTGATGGATTATTCATCGCTAATTTGTTTTATTTTGTCGCTAAGTGGATGTCAAAACTACTTTCCACCATATAATATATTGCAATTCCGTCATAAACTCATCTTAAATCCTTCGCTAAGTAATGACTGAAAATCCATCGTTATTATTTTTTATACTAAAGTGGGTCACTATTCCATTGCTAGTTCGTCGATAACTAGCAACCATAACTTTTCGTCGCTATTTTTTCAGCAAAAAATATATTTTTTCTATCTTCATTT